AATTGTAATCAAAAACCTGAAAATAATCCATATTGTGTATTTCTATATCTTTTTTTCTTTCCTCAGTGTGACATGAATACATTTAAATTTTTAATGTGCTTAAGTGCACAAAGTTACTGAAAATCCATGTTCCCCCCTTACCTGTTATCTTTGCCATTTTAATAGTAGTATTTTTTTTGTATAATATGTAAAACAGTATGTGGGAAATGCATAATGTGCTTCTTAGTCATGGTTGGTTTTACTGCCAGAGTAACCCACATGCAGATTTTGAAAAGGTCAGATTATGTGGCATTCTAGGGGAAATCAATGCTTAGTCTCATTGATTTGTTTATTTGCAAAAGTTGTTCTAACTTAAACCACAGAATATCTACCAAATCCCAGACTGATTTCTGTGATGGTGGAGGTACAAGAAAGAAAGTGCATTGAAGTCAGGTGCAAAAAATTGCCCTAAATTTCAAGCTTTTAGAGGCACTTATGCCCCCCCTTACAGGACCAGACCTAGCATGCAGTAATTAACCCATTCATTAATTCAGATTATTTGAGGGCCATACCCTGATATGGTCATTTCACTGCCTCCATTTCTGAAGCCCGTATTTTTACACTGAAATGAAAGGCAGGATATAGCATCTTAATTTACATATGAATACTCCACTGTATTTGCAATTGCATGTTTTACTGTGCAACCTGCAGTTTGAACATCATGCTAATGTTACTATTGTGAATATTCTTGTGGTTGGGTTCCCCATAGTGCTGCCTAACACAGCAGCGCACAACAGCGTGTGGTACATGAAGAGCTCAAGTTCAAAATTTGCTTTGGTAGAGAAGGTAAATTCATTTAACAGAATAAAATAATTAAACTGTACAGGAATAAAAGGTCAATTCAAAAACTTAAGTATTTCAAAATCAAACCATGCATGGTTTTCTGAAAACTGCTAGTGTTAGCTAGAACTGTGTGTGCTTATAGTAGCATTTAATTTGTACATTAATTAAGTTTACCTGCAAATGTAATGCAATTACTATTCCTGTCTCTCTTACACATTTCACAGAGTTTCTCTTAATAAGTCATTATTTTCTAGTAGTATCCAGTAGTTATCTCGATATTTGTCTCCAGTTGGATACAGAATGGCTCTGGCATAACACAGTGACCTGTAGGTGAACAAACATATTACAATGAATGATATTGTCACAATTACTAGCTCACATGAGTTAATATTGATGATGTTTTTCCCATTTAATGTAATGATAGCTTGAGCAAACTACGTTCTTTTCAGTTAATTGATACCAGGAAAAGATTCAAAAGCTAAGTGCTGCTAGCAGAGCATAAAACAACATCAGAAAGAAATATTAGGGTAGGGGAGAGCCTCCTGGGTCCTATCTCATCTAATTGAAGGCACCTAGGTTATATAATCACAGCCATTGTTATATTACCTTACTTATTATTAGCATATTTATTAGCTCCGGCAATGAGATATAACAGAAGTTCTATCATCGTTGTGAGATTTGAGTTTAGCCAGGTGACACTGCCTGCCTTGGCTGGTCTGTCCAGACACCTCATTTACAGAAGCAACCAAAATGGAGTGTTTTGCATCTGGTACAAAAGACAGGACTCAGATAGCTCATTTAGTCATGTAGGAGTGTGATTCAGTTGCTTGAACATAGGCGTACAGTTTCCTGGAAGATCTGTTGGAGCATCTGCTGCCTTTCCTGTGGGAGGTCCCTGTTCAGAAGCCCTAGGGCATCTCAGGTGGCACTAGACATTTGTTTTCAGGCAAGCCTAAGTCCTACATTTTAGGACAGGAGGACTTACCTGCCAGAGGAATCTCTCTTTCCATTGTGCATGTTGCAGTGACCAGATCATGCTAAACCTCAGTATTTTATTTTTCCAGTTGGATGAAGTGAATCCTATTCAAATAAACTCTAAAAGTTTGGTTTATTGTCCTGGTTTAGTCTGTGTTGAATAGACACACGGCTGCTCAGCAGGTATCCCCAGACATGATTTGCACACCTTGTTATTTCTTTTACTGTATCTTGATCATCTTCTTCACTACTTTGCTTCCTCTGAACAAGTCTTCTCTCAAATAAACAACCTGTCCCTAATTACCTCCACAGGTTTGCTACAGATTTTGTAGTTCTGTTACCGAAGCTTTGTATGGTGCTTGTATGGTACCACTGATGCAGTCACCTAAGTGCTGTTGTCCTTGCAAGATTATAATACCTGAAATAGTCCCAAATAATTTCCTCCAGTCACCTTCGAACTTTGGTCACTTCTCCCTTGATCACCCGTGGGATTCAGCCTTCCCTCACAGTGCTAGCTGTAACTTCTGTCTGCTTCTTACATTATTATCAGTAACATCTGGAAATTTCTCATGTTGTCATGATCTCATGTCCAGTAGTTTTCCACACACTGTTCAGTTAATTTAACCTCAGGATTATGCCAGTCAGGGCCTGGCCAGTGGTTTAGTCATTCACTTGCAGCAGTAACAAAGACACGGAGGATTATTCCCGAACTTGACCCTGAAGTTGTCTGGAAAAATATTTTCTTAGTTGTGTGATGAGAGGAATATAAAATGAAGATCAAATCCATTTGTTCAATGTTGAGTAAGATGATACAGCATGGTGCTGACACCTATACGCCCATGTAAAGACCATCCTGAGATAAAACAGCTCAAAGTGAGCAAGAAGCCACTGATATTCTTAATTATAGACTGATACCATTGAATCCTCGGGACCTAAAAGAATGGGGGGAAGGACTTTAATATGGCCTTGTTATTTTCTTTGGAGAAATTCCAGAGATACAGTCTGTGTGATTGCTACTGGTTTTGGATCGCTCCCAGATGTTAGATCCCAAAGGTTCAACTTTATCTTTGACTTCTTCGGAAGATGGTTCGGTGGCGATATCATTAATATGCAGATGACACTTAGTTCTGTTTCCTTCTTGTCAGCCCAGGCAGGAGATATCTCTGTACTTTCCAGAGTCTGGAAGAGATAGGGAGATGGACGGAAGCCAAGAAACTGGGCTCGTTCCAGAGCTTCAAACTGCTTCGCAATGACTGGCCTGGAAACAAATTTTGAGGAACTTTTATTCAGGGATTCATTTGTTCAAGTGCTTCATTGCTCTTGGAGTCTTAATAGCTTCAAACTGTTCTGCACTTGTCCTCTGATAAGAAGAGCTGGGAATCCCTTCTTCAGCAAACAAAGGAAAACCAAATCAAGCCCCTCTGCCAGGCCAAGAATGTGGTTGCATCATCTCACCTCTGCCAGAAAAGAAGGAGCTGCTTTCCCACCTCCCTTCCTCTTTGTCACTCAATCTCAGCCACACACTGCCTTGTGCAGGCTCTGCAGCTTGTTAGGTGCCTCCATGAGCTAACACATCTCACTGAAACAGCAGAAACAAACCACACAGAAATGTGGATCATTGTCTCCACCTTCCTGGGTTGCATTGGTTCTCCAAAGAGTTCAGCAAAAGCTGTGAAGACAGAATGGAGCAGGGAAGTGAAGCAGAGCAAGGAAGGAGAGCGAGACCTGATGAGCACGCAAGGTGGTATGTCTGTGACCAGGCTAGCATTACAAAACTGGAGACTTGATAACCACTTGAAATTTCGGCTGCAACCTTAATTCAGCTCATTCTCTTTTAGTCACTATGGCTTTCTCAGGGTAAATTACACCCACAGCTTGCTCCCAACAATGGGAGCAATTAAAAGTACTGTTTACTATCTACAGAGCCCTAAATAGTTGAAATCTAATTACTTCCAAAAGACTTTCCTTCTTTTGTCCTGTGGTGACCCTGGCATTAAATAGAATTGCTTTGGCCGTCTTGCCTAGGAATGAACTTTGAGGAAGCTGGAAGCAAAATAATGTCTCTAGAAGGCATTTTCCTGAAGAAATCGTTCCTGCCAGAATATTTGCTAAGCCTGAACTTGCCCACATTTGGTACGATGTAAAATAATTCTCCATGCACATGTTCTCCACTAAAAACAGGCCCTGGAGTCCTTGGCATTCAGCCTACTGTTGTCTATCTTTGTCCGTTAACATCGTGTGCTGTTGCCTCAGCACGTGCCCCGCAGCCTCCCACCCAGCCTTCAGAAATCTTCCGCTCTGCCCACACCTCCTCTAGCTGCCTACACCAGGCAGCAGGGTGGGTCCAAACTCCCCAAGGGGGAAGCGCAGAGACATGACTTTCTCCTGCCAGTCCAGTCCCCAGGTTTGGGACTGGTACACTTCCCAGGCCAGGAGTAGCCTGGAGGACATTTTCTTGGGTTGGGGAAGATGCTCAGCCACACACAGACATGAAGCCATAATCTTTTGCCTTGGGGATATGCACAGTAAACCACAAGCACACACATACTGGTGGCATTTGCATATAGACTGCATTTCTACATGGCCTGCAGTCAATGCATTGCATCTGGAGAGCCCTCCCATGTGTACCAAACTCTGCCGCCATCTGCGCTGTTGCTACATGGCAGAGGTGCCAGCCTCCGCAGCACAGCTTTTGAAACATCCGTATGTTGAGCCTCTGATTGCACTCACCACATGAAGGGATTACAGATGCCCTCCTCTTTCTCTTTGACCTCTCCCCACCTAGATCTGAGTTAACACTGTCCAACAGTCTAAGGTACCTCCACATCTGCTGCTGTGTATTAGTCTTTGGAGGTTCATGTCAGGAGTGGTACAGGTATATCTGAGCCTGTCATAAGGAAGGGGAAAGGACCAGGAACTTCTTAAAGTTCCTTCCAGCTTTTGATTTGTGGGGTTTTTGTGTTTCAGAAGATGATCCCCTTCAAATTGTACTGATGGGCTTGTAGAAAATGCAGCTGCTTCTTGCTGTTCCTTTGATTTTATCTCATCTGTGAACTTCAGCTTCCTTTTAGTCCTACTGCATTTTTCCAATATGATCTCTGTGTAATTTATGTTTGTGTAGTTGTGCAAATGCATCAGTTATATTTCTCTGCAGAAAACAGATTAAACACCTTTACATCCATAGAAAAGAACACTTTTGTCGTTTGTCTCAACTTTGAGATCCCAGACCTTCTGGTTTATTATTTTTAAAACTGATTTATTGCATATTTAGGTATTTTTCTCACATTTATTATTTATCTCAGTTTTATTCAGTTGTAAACAGTATTAGATTTTCATAGAAAAATATATTAATGTTAATTTATTTATACTTGTTTTTCTTTTAGAAAATTTATTTATGTTTGTTTTTCTTTATATGTACTTCATGTGTCTTGGATTATTTAGTGGAAATGCTGTTTCATGCCATGTAAATAATCTGCCACTAATCCCTCAGTGGCTTCTGGTAAACCACGATGCTCATTTATTTCTTTTTAGATCACATTGACAACCATTGGCTACGGAGACAAAACTCCTCTTACTTGGCTTGGCAGGTTGCTTTCTGCAGGATTTGCTCTACTTGGCATTTCTTTCTTTGCACTACCTGCTGTGAGTATGCCTCTAAATTTGTAAAAAGGTAACAGAAACTTCAGCATCTCTTACCACTGTTATGATACAAAAAGCTGAAAGACGCTCTGTACATGAAGAAGAGCTGTTTAAGGCTTTTTGCTGTGTGACGACATTGGTGAACTGCTATCCAAAATCCAAACGAAAGGTTTAGTGTTGCTGTCATTGCTTGAGTTATGAGGGCTTTCTTTGGCAAGGACAAAACTGGGAAATAATCCTAGATTACGTCGCATACTATTGTGTAAGGCTGAAATTCTGTTCTTTTGTTATGAACGGTGGCTCATATATATATATATTACTGCTTTTCTTTCAGATTTTTGAAAAAAAATAGCTGATACATTTTTCTGAATTAGGTTCTACTGAAAAAAAAGTGAGATATTTCTAATAGGTTGTATGATCGTTTTCAGGCTACCAACAGAGAGTAGTAGAAGGCATTAAATCAACCAAAAGTTAATGTCGTTCAATGTAAAAAAGCAACTGTCATTTTGGGTGAACAATTGTGAATAAACATGGCAGTTTATTTATGTTGCTTTTATCAGTGTTCAAGAGATTTTAATGGAAATGGGAATAATTTAGTGACTATGGTGTAGCTTCAGAAATAACTTTTCATTTTTGTGAGTGAATTCACTTTCTTTTTTGAATTAGTATTGCATAAGTGTGAAATCAGAAATTACATTTGTATTTTGTTGTATTGCATCCAGTGCAACATATACAGAAAATCACTATTTTAGTAGTCAGATTCATTATCTATAGATTCCTATAAAATATGTGGTTTATAATAATCCATTTGTTTTCAGCTATATAGAAAAACCAAGATTAAAAGTCAGCATTTGCCAACAGTATTGAATCACCTAGTGTACTGCTTTTGTTTCTTAGTCTAAGTAGAAGAGTATTTCACTATCTCTGGCATATTATAATGCATTATAATTACAATACATTACCTGTTTGTGAATCTTTAACATTTAGTGGCAGCTACTGTAATTAATTCTCTTTGTTACCTAGTCACCACTAACAAGAAAGTTAGTGTTAGCAGGACTAAAATGAGCATGTAAAAGATTAATAACCTTACGCCTTACATATGAAGAGATGCCAGAACTTCTGCTTCTCATGTCATATCTATGTACAGACACTAATTTTCCTCACAAACACTTTTGTGTTGAATCTGTCTGTAAAGCAAGATACATGTGTGAATCTTGTGCATTTCTAATATTATTTTACCCCAACTAAGAATCAAGTGGATTCCTTCTAATACAGACACATCCAGGAGAAATATTACACTCCTTGCAAGCCAAGGAGGGAAACATTCTCAGTCTTTCTGTCTGTTCTTAATTTGTCTTACTTATTCAATGGTAAAAAAAAGCCAAAAGGGAAGAGGTTTCATCATCAGCTTTTTGCACAGCCTATAGAATGAACAATGGGGACTATTTGGATGGCAAAGAATGATAAGAAATGGTCTTAATCTGTAAAGCAGGGCGTTTTCTAACTTTTCTAAAATCAAAAGTCATGATAAGCACTGCAGATACGGACTTTGAAGTCCATGTGTATCTGGTATATCTGGCAGCTGGTCATTTCATCATTCCTGACAAATTCTTCTGAGTGTTCCTGCCTGATGTTTTATACACAAATACATATCCGTGGCCCTTAGAGTTGCAGGAACATAGCACAGCACAAACACAAACAATGGCTGGGATGAGTGGTCATTGGTAGCACCACAGATGTTCTTTCTTAAGTAAGGAGTCTCCTGCCTCACCACAAACAGGTACTGTTGTTAAGCCTTAAACTGTCATGAATGTGTTATCTGAAGCAATCATATGGCGTAACATCTTCACAAAACCTTTGTAGCTGGTTGTGTGTATTTGCTGAAAAAACTACCTACATAATGATAAATGGCGTGTTGTGTTGCAGGGTATCCTTGGCTCAGGATTTGCGTTAAAAGTGCAGGAACAGCATCGTCAGAAACACTTTGAGAAAAGAAGGAATCCAGCTGCCAGTCTAATTCAGGTAAATACGAAATCGATGAAAAGATAACAATAGGTGATTTAAAGTACATATTGGAACAAGTTTTATTATTCCAATTTGGAAAGTTTTGTGGAAATAATGTTTAACAGATCGGTTAGTTTCATGAAATAAGTTTGTTCAGTGATTGCCATGTGTTGCCATAATTGTGTATGTTGCATTTCTATGCGCAGTTTTTGAGTTCTACTATCCATGCTGCAGAAACCAAGACGAGGATGTCAATTACATGCCTGCGGTTAGCAAATTACTTGGAAAAGTAGAATGGATCCCTAGGCAGCCCAACTGACAGGACAGCACTATTGCCTATATTAAACTACTTTTCATCTACTACAGGGTTTAGAGTGCTCCAGTGAGTGATATACTTGGTGAAAATTAAAAGTGTCCTTCCCAGAGAATTGCTTTCACTATTAGTCAATTCAAAAGCTGGAAATGTAGGCGCTAGCAATTCCAAAATGTCTGAAATTGTCTGAAGTTGTTTCAGCTCCATTATTGACAAGATGGGGAAGATCAACGATTGAGAAAGACTTTTTTTAAGCATAAGTGGTATATTTGTAGAACAGCTGTTTTGCATGAGTTTTTCCCTTAACTTACAGTCCTAGTTAAAAACGAGAAAATCCTGTAAAGAATTATTTTGCACCAAGCTTTACCCTACTTGATGCACTGAAAAAAAAAAGGGGGGGGGGAATCTTCTAGCATCTTAATTTATTTTCTTGGGATTCCAAGTGTTCTATGTTGTCATTTACGCTGGTTTTTTAGTTCAGAAATAATAAATCAAATTAATGAAGCTGAGCATGAATATACCAGAGTTTCATGATAAGTTCAGGATAGATGCCAGGCTGTCTTTGAAACATTTCTGAAGTTAATAAATGTTTTCCATTATTACGGTTCAATTATTATTAAATACTAAATATTTGAGATTTAGTATTTATTATAATAATAAATATGAATCCACTCCTTTTGTATCTATTCTGTAGAATGAATGTCTGGGATATTTTCTGACACATATATTCTAATCTACTTCTTCCAAGTGTGGTTGCCAGAGGAAACACACAATAGATTTCGCTTTTGGTTGTAGCTCTTCTTATTATTGTATGACAGTTCAACCAAAATATTAGTAAGATAGCATGCTAAATAGATTAAGAGTAGCTAGCTGACTGATTTCAGGAAGTGACTCTCAATGGGCAAAATCATTGTAAAAGTAAGACATTTGTGGTGGGATCCCATGTCGAAGGCTGTTCAACATTTACATGTTCATTTTAATGTTCAGCATTTTCAGTGATCTGGTAATTAATATAAAATTGCTGATTGAGATATTTGCCGATGGCACAAGGCCTGGCAGGATAAGAAAGACAAGAGCAGGCACATGGGAATGAACCCAAGGATGATCTGGGTGACTACAGGGTGGAATGATTCCTGCCAAATGTCTTAATACACCAAATACAAAACTTGATCTAGAAGCAATGAATTCAGACTATTACAAGAGGCCTCTGTCCCAGTATTAGTTGCTCTAGAAAGGAT